CATGTGTGGAGTTCACTAGCTTCTGTGGAGGAGGTTGAAACTCTTGTATTGCATTGGCTAGAAGTTGGAACAGGCTGTCTTTGTTTGCATCACAGCGAAGGAAGTTCTTCCAGTTAACAGGAATCTTGGTATTATTGTCCACCCGGAGATGATCCTCGGTTCTGTCGTGATTGTGCCTTAGGCTGGCCTCCCTGTAGACATCCCAGACAACATCTACGCGAACAACGTCCTGTAGCATGTGTTCTATATAGGGAAAGAACACCAATTGTGAATAGTTCTGGAATGTTTTGACAGAAAGTTGGGACTTCTTTGGGTCAAGCATGTGCACAATGGCAGCACCGTCAACAATGTTGACATCAACATTTGGAACAGATTCCGGCTGTGGTACCAATGACTCCAAGCATTCCATCAAGTCAGATTTGCTTGTTTGGCGCATGATACCATTTGACGCCAACGATGGAGGCCAAGCATGATTTTCATGTGCGAAGAAGGCATCCATATCACTTTCTCTAGCTTGACACGATATATACAGCCGTGAGAAGAGATGAACATCATTGTGCAGGTTGGAAATATTGGCAGTGGACTTCGCAGGTTTCTTTCCTAAACTAGAATTCAACAGAGGCAGATTGTACCTATGTATGGTGTCATTGAATGCAGTGATATTGTCATTGATACGCTCCGCAACAAATTTCTGGTACTGTGCTTTGCCTATGTCTTCTGCGGACCTTATAGTATCAGACATTATCTGTTTGGTATCAAGCAAGCCTTCTGCACACTTGGTATTCGTTCATGGTGGCGTTCTGTGTCCTTCTTTTTAATTGAATGTTTCTCATCATACTCCATTAATAGCCTAGCTGTTTCTGGACCTGCCACCATCCACCGTCTCAGTGCTGCTTCATTTTCAGTGATACCTATTACGCCTCCATCTCCCTTCACCATTGCATTCAGCTGTTCATGAACTTGATCATGGGCTAGTGCTGAGAATTTGTGCATTTCTGTGTCACAAAGTTGCCTTTGAGAAACTCTGCATGTATGTAAGGGCAGTTAATCTCGAGGGCAAGCTTATCTCTCACATGAACCGTCATCCAGCGAGCATAGTGATAGTGGTCAAGAGCGAACATTCACGGAATAATCTTTCCAAGTGACTCCACATAGGCAACATATTTTTGTTCACGCTGTGATCTAAGGAACGACGTTTTGGCAGGCGCGCAGGCGCACCTTCCAAAGTGTAACAGAAATTATGAACTGAAGTATAGATGGCATTATTTTTCATCATGATTTTTCACATATGTGTAACCGAGTTCTTTGACCTAAAAACAATTGTATAATTTGAAGATGTATGTTAGGATATTTCATGTTTTCCATCGGGTTCCTTGACATAAAAACTGGTATAGATACCTAGATCCTGGTAATCGTGGCACGTATAGCCTAAAGGTCATGACACAGGTAGCGATGCAGGTAGTGAGAAAGGTCATGACACAGGTAGCGATGCAGGTAGTGAGAAGGGTCATGACACAGGTAATGATGCAGGTAATGACACAGGTAACGATGCAGGTAGTGATACAGGTAACGATGCAGGTAGTGATGCAGGTAACTACACAGGTAGCTCTATAGCACAGCTTTAACCCAGCCTCTATACGACACAGCAGTAACTTTAGCGCACGTTGCGTTCGCTCTGTTCTTACAACACAATCTTCGCTCGTGCCCTAGACTCGCCCACCCGGCTGCTACCAGCAGGCGCCGCCGACCACGATTCCCCCAGCGACAACGAAGCGGACGAGACACGGCAGAGGGTGCCGGCGCCGGCGGAGGGGGAGGAGGCTGAGGCGGCGGCGGAGGAGGTGGCGGAGGCGGAGGAGGAGACGACGCGCCCGCTGCAGCATGCTGAGAGCACGAATGACGAGGTCTACGAGGATGCGATGGAGAATCTCTCCGAGTCGATGAAACGTCGCAGCGGCAATCCAGGTGAGCCGAGCGTTGCCGTGGCAACGGCGAGAGGCTGAGCTTGCGCGGGGGTGGAGTCGCCCACAGATGAGCACAGTCGTGTTTGTAATCGCTTAAGTATATTAGTCTATATTATTATAATAATAATTGTCCAGGTTTAGCAACAGTATATGCCATGTGTGGGGAGAGCAGGGAACGTGTTTGTTAAGATGGGCTTCTATGGAGGAACTAGGAATGAGGAGGCATGTTAATTAAGTTAGGGTTATACGAAGAAACTAGCTATGAGGGGGGGATGTGTCAGCTAAGTAGGGCTTCTATCGAGGATCTAGCAAGTAAGCTCTCGGTTAGGATCGAGATCTTGATAATAGTGATGATAGTTTTCTCGGTCTTTAGTGGCTGTACAGTTACTATGGAAAAACGGTTGCGGATGATAAATGCTGCCTCGTTTGTGATAAAGACGTGGCTGATGTTTGAACTTGTAGAGGCAGTACAAAAATCTTTTTAATGCTTAAAATCTTAAGAAACGAAGTCCGAAATTCTCTTTTAGGGCTCTGATAGTGCAGTATGCTAGCCAGAGGGTGAGTTTACTTACACGTAAACGTCATTAGTTGATTAACTAGTGAAATGAGAGATTAATCCACTAGCATAGAAACACACATTATTGGTAGCTATGGTAGGATATAGGGGCTAACATGGGTGCTTTAATGAGAGAATGCTATTAGGCTGGCATTAGTTGGAACAATATACATGTAGTGAGCATTGTAACACCGTACACGCAAGACTGTTGCACTTTTCATTTGATTAACGAGTTAATTTCGTTTCGTTTATAAGGTTTGTCGATGCCCGTTTGATTTTATGTAAGCATGAGAGTATGTGCATTGAATTCACACTTGTGTCGTGCGTAGATTGTTGTGCTGAGAGTGCGAGAGACACGGGTGGCATGTGGCGCGAGCACAGCTGCTAGTTAGGTGCTGGCACTTCATACTAGCTAGCTATCTCATTACCAAGTGCAGGCCATGGGGGCCACGCTTGCCATGCTTGCCATGGGGGTCATGCTTGCCATGGAGGCCATGGAGGTCATGCTTGCCATGGAGGTCATGCTTGCCATGGGGGTCATGCTTGCCATGGAGGGAAGGTCATGCTTGCCATGGAGGGAAGGTCATGCTTGCCATGGAGGGAAGGTCATGCTTGCCATGGAGGGAAGGTCATGCTTGCCATGGGGGCCATGTGTGCCATGGAGGGAAAGTCATGCTTGCCATGGGGGTCATGCTTGCCATGGGGGTCATGCTTGCCATGGGGGTCATGCTTGCCATGGGGGCCATGCTTGCCATGGGGGCCATGCTTGCCATTGGAGCCATGCTTGCCATGGGAGCCATGCTTGCCATGGGAGCCATGCTTGCTATGGGAGCACTGCTTGCCGTGGAGGCCATGCTTGCCATGGAGGGGAGGTCATGCTTGCCATGGGGTCATGCTTGCCATTGGGGCCATGCTTCCAATGGGGGTCATGCTTGCCATGGGGGCCATGCTTGCCATTGGAGCCATGCTTGCCATGGGAGCCATGCTTGCTATGGGAGCACTGCTTGCCGTGGAGGCCATGCTTGCCATGGAGCACATGGGAGCTTGAGAAGCCGTGTGTCAGACCAGCCCTTACCACCAGGTGTCTCTCAGTTATTTATGTTGTGTGCCGCGTGTGTGCGTACGTGCGTGCGTCCGTTCGTGCTCGCGTACCTGCGATCGTGCACGCGTACATGTGTGCGTGCATCCTTGCGTGCGAGCGTGCGTGCGTGCGTGCGTATCGATTGCGTTTCAGCGACCAATCGGCTGCATTGCGACACTGATTACCGTCATTTGCTTTCATTTTCGCATCCATAGTTTGACTGAGTAGGTAAGACTAGCTGTTGAAGTCGCTGTAGCTGTGTCTTAGCAGCGTGGCCGGAGCATGCGTTCGGTGTGTGGTTGTGTGTCGTGGTGACTTGTGTTCTCGTTAGCTGTAACCATATCGTCATGCTAGCGTGTATTGATGGTGTGTGGTCCGACTCTAGCTCTGATATGTATGCATGGCCCAACACGATACCTAACAGTCTCTGCAGTGTGAGATGAAGAGCCCGTCGCTATGCGCCAACATGTATGTATACGGTGTGTGCGCGCCGGAATTTTGACCGAGTTGGTATATATTGGTTTTTACTGAAACACCTAAGTGTAGATGACACGCCGTGGTTTAAGAGTAGGGTTGTGCATGGCATTGAAGACGCCGATATTTAGCTCGTAGCTGCTTGTACATTTGCGTAGGTTGTGTGTGTGTGTGCATGTATGGGAGTGTGTTAGTGCGCGTCCGCGTGCGTGCATGTGTGTGTGTGTGCGTGCGTGCCTGCGTGAGTGCGTGAGTACGTGTTAGCACCACTCCGTGACAGGGGTGATCAGTACGTCAGCATGTACTACGTGTGTAGACGTTTATTATTATCAGCTGCGTTTGCGGTGTGGTTGCGTCAAAGCTTGCATCGCCGTCGCATGCCTCCCAAGACACTAGGGGTCGAAGTCAGACTGACACAACGACTGCAGGCGACGGGACAACGTTGTGGTTGCGTTGCACGGCGATACTAGTTTCAAGGCTTGTCACTATTGTTAGCAATGCAACAGATCGTGGCATGTAGTTTTATTTCTCTCTATAATGAAGACAGTGATCTATCACTTACTATTCAGTTCAGCTCGTTTCTTCTTGGCTAGTTGTCTCCGTTGGTGTCGCCCATCTACCATATCTTGTAGGATTCATAGATGTGTGAAAAGACATTTAATATAGACAGCACTAATTACTGCACATAGTAGCCATTACTTATGCTAACGCTAGCCCTCGATTCATTCATTAATTCATGATGCTTTTCTGTCTTTTCACTTGTCTATGAATCTTCATGTTACCCACCTGCATACCCGATCGGTCACCTCGTTAATCTACGCTGGCAGTGCTTCTATTGCGAGGCAGCCGTAGTATATCAGTGTATGGTAATCACTGACGGGCAGAGGCCATTTTGTTTTGCGTTCAGTAATTTCAGTTCAGTCAGTTCAATCTATTGGTAAACAATTTTTTAACTTTTTCTCATTACAATGAGCAAGTGTGGTTCAGGGTTTCATCGAAGTTCGCTAGCGCGTCGCATCGCTATTAGTTCATTTGCGATTGGACCGAATTGGTCATTTGACGGTTAGACGTATGAAAAAAAACAATAAAAAAAACTATAAATAGCAAAAATGTTGTGTTTCATCGCGCATCTCCTCTCTCGTAGGTTCTAGGGAATCTTCGCCCGCGACGCCCGAGACTGACGCGGCTTCCGGCGAGCAGCAGCCGAGGAAGCGAGAGCTGAGGACGAGCGAGGGCATTCTACTCGTCAGCGCCGGTCTAACCGACGACGACGGCGGCGGCGGCGACTCGGCGGGGGATGGCGAGGGGGAGTGCAACCAGAACTCGAACAATTCGAACCACGACGGCGAACACGGCGCCAGCGAGGCCGAGGACGAGGATGCGGGCGTCGCCGTGGCGACGACGGATATGGAGAAGGGCGTCGACGTGGAGGAAGGGGATGGAGTCTTCCTCGAGGTGGCCGCGGCGGGGGACCCCGTCGCCGCGGCGCCGCCCGACGACATTCCGCGCACGAACATCGACGACTACGACCCCGGCGACGACCCCGACGACGAGGACGAGGATGCTGCGCAGGAGCCGACGCCCGGCGCCGCGCCGCTCGAGCACGAACGTGCGCCGTCGCTAGAGGGCAGCACGAGCACCGTCACGGAGGAGCCGCAGCCGGAGAGCGTCGACTCTGACACTGGCGCCGCTGCGGACGCGGACGGGCAGGTGGCGCCGCCGCTCGCGCAGGCTAGCACAGTGGTGGTCGGCAGCGCGGAGGGAGCGGTGCAGGCGGCCGTGACTAGCTGTGTGCAGCCGGAGGCGAAGGCTGAGCTGACGACGCTCGACGAAGCTACCCCCAGACCGCCGACAGAAGAGGATGAGAAGGAGGAGGATGAGGAGGAGGAGAAAATGAAGGAGGAGGAGGAGACAGGGAAGGAAGAGAATGAGAAGAACAAGGAGGAGGAGGAGACAGGGAAGGAAGAGAATGAGAAGAACAAGGAGGAGGAGGATGGTAAGAAGGAGGAGGAGGATGGTAAGAAGGAGGAGAAGGAAACAGGAAAGGAGGACGATGAGAAGGAGGAAGAGGAGGAGGAGACCGAGAAGGAGGAGGAGGAGGGTGGTTCTGCAGCTGACAGGCAGCCCAGCTCTCCGTGCGCAGACGAGCAGCATGGCGTCAGCAACGGGCCGCCGTGCGGTGAGGGTGACGAGATGCAGCCGACAGACGTAGCATCGTCGGATGCTGCCGGGGAGGCAGCTGCGAGCACCGAGGAGAACCCTGCTGCAGACGGAGAAGACGCCACCACGTCCGACGACACTCGCACCGCAGAGGAAGCCCCAGTGCCAGAAGAAGCCACTGCGACTGCATCTGACAGGGAGGAAGCTGTCACGTCGGAGCGTCAGGCGGAGTCGAGTGCCGGGAAGGAAGCCACCCCGGATGCTGCTGCTGACAACCCGGAGTCCATGCAGCAGGAAGCCTCCACTCCCAGGGAGAGTGACGGCGCGACCGCCGAATCGAATTCCACGCCGGCGCCCCCTGCCGAGGGCGACGCGGCAGCGGCGGTTGATCAGGTTGCCGCGACGACGCCGGCCGAGCGCGATGCGCTGGAGCCGGCGTGCGGGGACAGCCAGGGGGCGCCACATGACGAGCAGTCGTGCGACGACGGCACGGACGAGGACGTGCTTGACGTGCGGGCCGGCGCCGAGAAACAAGAGAGCAGCGCGGCCGCTGCTGCCGCCCCCAGCCCTGCCGACGCTGGCAAGGGCAAGAAGAAGAAAAAGCGCGGGAAAAAGAAGAAGGGCAAGGGGAAGGCTCCGGAAATTGAAGTGAGCCATTTCTAGTTGGCTGGCTGTCAGAGTGGCTGCTGCTGCTGCTGCTGCTGCTGCTGCTGCTGCTGCTGCTGCATTCGCGTGGCGCGGAGTTGTATACGGTAATGCACGCCGCGCGCACACGAGTCTGTAAATATAGACGATTTTACTCGTATCGCGGTGCATGATGAATTTTGAAATTAGGAATTATGGCATTCATCAGGTATGCGTTACTACCGCCGGCTGCTGTTAGTGTAGCAGTATTCACGCGATGTGGCGAGACCTGTGTTAATGATATCGTATATATACCATACTACTGCTACTACTACTGTTACCACTACTACTACTGCTACTATTCCTAATACTACTACTGCTGCTGTTACTATTGGGAGTATTTTCAGGTGGTGCGTTCTCGAGCGTGTAACATTGTGACTGATATAACAGCAACCATGTTATTGCTGCGCTAGCGTTTGTAGGCGCTGGCGAAATTTTGTAAGAAACGGGAAGAATCGGGGAGCTATTTAATCTGTACATTGTGTGGGATGTATGTAAAATTTTCTCGAGCACGTTCAATGCGTATAGATGTAATATGGCTTTTCCTATATACTGGTACGTGTGTATGTGTGTGTTTGTGTGTGTCTGCGTGTGTGCGTGCGTGCGTGCGTGCGTGCGTGCGTGCGTGTTCAACTACACCTGTGGTTTACCTTCTGCCAATCATTGTTGCCTTAGTTTTGACACCGAGATATCGGTCACGGTCCGTTGCTTGAGGGGACGAGATACCCCCGATGGCCACGCCCTCCCCTCTCGGCGGCGGTCCCCGCGTTTTTTGTACATATTCTTTTGAAAAGAAAATTTTATGGCGAGGGTTTTATTAAGAGCGTCGTGACTGTCTGCCGTTGTGCTGTCCCAGCGAGTGTGCTGACGTCAGCGGCGCCCGTGGTGACGTCACGCAGACGTGCGCGTGGCGGTCTCCATGGTCTACGTTTATTGGGATGTGTATATGATGCGGAAAGAGACGATTTGCTAGAGTTCTGTAAATTGGGTGTATGTATCATTTGCTTATATCATAGGGTGTAGCCGCTGTATAAAATATCTCATTCTTGGTCACTAGTTGGCTATAGTCATACTACTACTATTACTACTATTATTGCTATTATGAATACTACTACTATTATTATTACTACTAGTAGTACTACTACTACTACTCGAGAATTTCGTGAGTGATTTTACAAATATTACTTTTAGCAGCGTATGCTGTCACAGAGTGGCTCTTACCCTCTCTGAGTAAGCCCACTAGAAGGTACTTCCTGTTGCACGTACGTTCTTGTAGTGCAGACTGATAGCTGTTGTTGCTGTTACTGCTAGTGCTGCTATTGTTACGCCACCACCAATGTTTACGCATCCTCATTTCTAAATTCGTCGTCTCGGAGTTTCCAACCTCGCCCGGCAGATGCAGTGCGAATATATATCTCGGGCCTCGCTCTACATCTCGTGCGAGTCTCCTGAAATCTCCCCTCCCCCCCCACACACACCCACCCGAAAATCTAAGACAGGTCATCTACACTGCCTACGCCCGTGCAGTAAACTCTGTAAACTGTGGTCATGAACATATGTATACAATATGTATATCTGTAAACATGTTCTTACCATGGATATACTGTCGCCTTTGTTAGTGATACTTGTTTACTAGTAACCGCTGGTGGGTTGGCACTGCGATGACGTCATAGGGGAAACAATGACCGTGGTAACAGAGAATGAAGTAAGGAGGGAGGAGGGAGGGTGAGATGGGAAAGAGACGAGGTGAGAAGGGGACAGCGCTAGCTAGCTTAACCCGCCAGCACGTAGCGTGTTGTTAACTCCAACGACGGTTCCCGGTTTCTCGTAGACACGCAGCACCGGTAAAGGTAAACCACCCAAGGGAAAATTCCTCCTGGTGCTTTTCTTCCTGGCAGGGGAAGGTGATCACGCCATCACTGTTACCGGGACTAGCATTGGCTTATGCTGAATCGTTGCTGCGCTAGAACCATTCGTGTGTGTGTATGTGTATGTTCGCGTGTGATGAACGCGCTGCATTAGTAAGGCCTACACTCTATGTATACACAAAGCTAGCTAAGCTATCCAATCATGGCGGCGGAGATCTTGTTTATAGGTAGGACATAGCACTGGCTGTCGTTGAAAGACACCTGAATAAATGGTGTAGGCGCTATGACGAATTTAAACCAACGTCTGGTTTCTGATACTGATAAACTCGAGGCCCTTGTGAGGTAATATTTTTGAATATTTCTTTATATCAAGTAACGCGCATTATGTATATGTATTGAGGTAAAAAGCGTTGAAAGTTATTATTAATTAGGAGGACGCTAATGTTCTATTGACATGTACAGAACATTTTATATTATAAGGAATAAAATATGTCCAATATAAAAAGTATATCCTACTGTTAGTTTGAGGTTTTTGTGTGTTGTAATTTTTCACATTTTAGTCATTACTAACTAAAATGCCAATTCCTAGTAACATTTAAAGGGGTTTCCAAACTATATAAACGGAAAGACCACATACTTCACATAGGCATTCGCGTTCATAAAAGTGTGCACTTCTGGAAAGAAGCATGAAAATTTGCTCTAGGGGGGTTTTGAGTATGCTGATGTCAAAAATTGCGGGAAACACGATGTCACACCAACGTTTCCCGCCAAAAAATCAAAGATTAAAAATGGCCACTAGAAAAAATGTTTTTCCCATAAATCAGCTGTAAGTGCCCCGATTACCATGATCTTGGTGTATATACCTATGTTTTTGAAGTCAAAGAATGCAAGAAAACATGTCAAATATTATAAGATATAATCTTCTCGCCAAAAAGTTGAAAATTTAAAATGGCCGCCACAAAACACAGTTTTGCCCATAAATCGGCTGTAAGTGCCCCAAGTACCATGATCTTGGTCTCTATACATATGTTTTTGAGGTAAATGAACCCCATAGAACGGGCATAGAACACATGTGATCTATCATAACATCTTCCCGCCAAAAAAATTAAATCCAAAATGGCTGCCACAAACGCATTTCTTTGCCATGAAACGCTTGGTTTGTCTATATTCAGGCCGGTACAAGAGATAATTTGCATATTTTATCACGTGGTTTGTTTGTGTTATAACCAATCAGATGTAATCGCGTGTTCGTGACGTCACTTCCAGCTGTGAAGAAGATGGTGAAGGAGGAGGAAGGGGAGAAGGGAGAAGGTGGTGGAGAAGGAGGAGGGGAGAAGCTGGTGGAGAAGGGGAGAAGGGAGAAGGTGGTGGAGAAGGAGGAGGGGAGAAGCTGGTGGAGAAGGAGGAGGGGAGAAGCTGGTGGAGAAGGAGGAGGGGAGAAGCTGGTGGAGAAGGGGAGAAGGGAGAAGGTGGTGGAGAAGGAGGAGGGGAGAAGCTGGTGGAGAAGGGGGGAAGGGAGAAGGTGGGGGAGAAAGAGGAGGGGAG